TGTAATCCAATCCAGTCCTGTATCAGTATATTGAAGACATGAAAAGCAGATGCATCCGCCCATGTTCTTAGTTTCTGTTGGCTTCCCCTTTGCTCTTAGCGTATACATTCTATATCTTGGCTATTTCAGATGGCAGTTGTTGATTCCACTTGGGCCAGGGTAAGTCCTATCCCTTCTGTATCGCTTTCCCTGCCTCAGAGCATTTTTAGTGTCTGTTAAATGCTTATCCCCTCACTCTAGCTAAAACTTGGTTTGGAGTTACCCTGAACAGCCTTCTTGCTGGGGACCTGGTTTAGCAAGAGTGGGCTGTCATATGACAAAGGCAGAGAGCCATAGAGTGCTTTCTCCCATTTTCTGTCTCGAGTGGAAATGGAAGCTGCTGCAGTTCAGGATTATCGCTCTTGTCCTTTCTCTTGTACAGATTTGTTGTCAGCAAACCTTCATGCTTGGCTCCCTGCTAGATACTGGAAGAAGTGTAGCACATACATCTGGAGACACAGGTCATGTTTTGCTGTGTTTCATTTATACAGAACTGCCACTGGAAAATGTGGCATTAAGATTAGATGCATTTGATACTCAGAATGAATGTACATAAGAAGCACAAAGGGGTCAGCTTAAATGCAAAAATGACAGGTTCTTACATTAATTCAACATTAGTTAAACCTCCTCCTGATGAAAGAGGTGAAGGGCATCTCCAAAGAAGAAAGGCTGCAGTAAGGAATGGAACAAGTCTTGATGGAGATTCCTACTTTTTATTCTTTCCGGATTTTCATCAGGGATGCAAAAACTGGAATGAAACCTATCCTGAGGGATGGTGTTAGGTGAAGATGAAATTGGGTGTTACAAGAACCTCTAAAAATGGCTGTCTTCAATATGACTTTAGGAATTCAGCAAGCCAGAATGTCTAGATGCATGGAGCACACTACTGGTGTGATATCACAGTTAAAGGGAGAGGAAGGGAGAGAGAGGTGTATCCTAGGGCCACCCACTTTAGAGGGTCTGTGAGAAACTTCTTTCAAAGGGCAGGAGTCAGTCTATCCAATACACTCCCATATGCGACTGTTCAGCTCTCTGAGGTGCCTGGCTGCCTGACACCCACAAGGAGGAGAGAGGCAAAAAAAAGTTCAGGAAAACAGCTTGGCTTTAAGTTCTCTATTTGCTCCTACCCAAGGCCTCAGTGGTGACGGTGTAGATCCAGCAGTGATGACAAGCTGAGTCATTTTTGAAACAACCAGGTCAGCTATAAGCTGTCTGTCCTCTTCCACGTGCTCCCCAATCAGGGGCATTGAGCTGTCCATCACCTGCCACAGGAGGGAAAAACAACAGTTAGCCAGGAGGTTTGCTGGTGGCAGATGCCTGTTTCAACTCACCTCTCACATTAACCTGTTGTGTGTCTCCACATCCTTGCCAACATCTATAGTCACCACTCCCCGCCATGATGGAGCATGTTTAACTTTCCTAGGCATGGGATTTTGCTTAGGTTTTTTTGGAAATGGCATGTGCTTCCCCTCACTCCCCATCTTCCTTCCTTTCACAACTTGGAAGCCAAGCCAAGGCTTCTGGTGGCTGGAGGCTTTTTCTGAATCAACTAAACACAAACTTTCTTCTTCACATGTCCTGAGGAGATGCCTCTGACAGATGAGGTGTCTCTGGCATTGTCTCACAGTATTTGGGGGTGACATTGCAGAAGAAAGGGCCACAGGATAAGGGAAACAACATGTACTGAAGCCTGAGGAGATGAGAGCAACAGGGACTGGAGGAAACCAGGAAACATTTGGGAGTAATCAGCACAAAGCACTGTACCCTGAGAGGGGAAATAAACACCGCAGATGTGTAATTAATAGGATGTCACCAAAACAACAGCACCCAGTGCAGAAAAGTAAACTTATTCTCTGCTTGTCTTCTTGATGTTGTGATACAACTGCTTCCCAAGCAAGTACTACAACTGTGCTGGGTAAAGCTGGGAAGCAAGACTGTGGGGTTGGGGGAAGGACAACTGTCAAAGGGTCTTTGAGGTAAGAAATGGTCTGACAACAACAATAATAACGAAAACACAGCAGACCCTCAGCTGTATAGCAGCCCTAAACATAGTTTTCAACAGTTCATCATAAATCAAGTGCTTTGCAAACATTAGCTAAATCCCACAGGAAGAACTGCACTATGATGAGGTTAAGATTCAGCTGGAGTAAATATAACTGTACCAAAATATCAGGGTTGGAAGAGTTTATTTTATTTTGCTTTTATTTTTAAACCAAACATTGAAAACCCTGGAAATGCAGAGTTAAAGGTTGCATTGCTCAAGAAAGGCACTGACTCACGCTCAGATAACAATCGGAAATGCACTCCACCCTGGCAAGGCTGCAAGAGTCCACTCTTGGAGTGAAATGGAAAGTTTTGCACCCTTTTTTTTTTTTTTTTTTTAAGATTAAGTGTGGGAAATCAGTGAAGTGAGTTCGTAGTTTGTATTGTAGTAATTTCTTGCAGAATATTAATTTGGATTAATTTCTATAGGTGTCTCTTATGAACAAGAAGCTGCCTAGGAAGATTTATCTGGGGTTTGCACAAAGAGTGAGTTGGTGTTCATATCTATGGCCTATTTGACCCAGGGGGTGAAAGGAGGGGGTTAGAAAATTAGATGGCAGTGCTCAGCTAAGTACACAAAGTGGCTTTTCATTCCATGCTCCACTTCATTGTTTCTCTGTTAAAACATGAGGAGGGGAAAGGAAATATTTCCTGCGGTGCCAGAGAACGGCCAGTTCCCGTCTGTGTCTCGCTAGCCAGGGGCTTCTGGGGGCTCTCCAGCAGGTTCCTGTGCAGGTTTCCCTCCATTCCCACCTTAAAAACATTCCCATTTCATTTGGCGATTCCAGTTCACACATGAGAAAGGTCTCCGAGCTCCTCTGCACCGTGCGGGGGACCTGCCTGACCACTAGATGATGCCATTTCTCTGCTGACAGCCTGGCCGGCCAAGCCTCACCCTCCCTGTGAGTAACTGGGATACAGCTCTGGTCAAAACACCCCAAACCCCACATTTCCCCATCTTAAGAACTGCTTTCCCCTATATCTGTGGCATCAGTGGTTGAAGAGGAAGGGGAAGATGCTGTTTTATAAAACAAAGGCACCAGGGGGAAAGAACCCTAGAACAGGTTCTGCTGTTTTATAAAATAAAGGCACCTAAACCAATGGAGGTGCACCAGGGCTAAGGGTATCTGCTGTCCTGCTGTGTAGTGTCTGGCAGGGGAACATGAGCTGTGGGAAACTTTGCAAATATGGGAATGAAAAATCACATGCATAAAGTAAAATTTGAAAATGGCAGTGATTTTTGGGGACAAAATGACGCAGCTGGTTGCCACTGAACCGAAAGGGAGCATGAGATGTCACCTTGTCTGTCCCCCAGGAAAGGGGAATTGCTCTGGAACTGGGCAGATAGGAATGCTAATACTGACATAAATCAAACTGAGAGGAATATGTGAATCATAGACAGATTGCACTCATCTCTTCCTGGGGAGATCACAGAACAGCTGGGCAAGACAAGAAGATATCAGCACATATGGACCCAGCCTTTTTAGCTGCCCAAGGTCAGTAGCTGCTCCTGGTGCAGCTGCTGTTGCCTGATAAGGTGTATGAGGGGGAGTGGAAAGCGGACAGGCACAAAAGAGACTCAGGAAAACCCCATCCCACTCCTCCCCCTGCGCCTATCTGATGCTGAGGCCTGAAAGCTGGACTTGTTATTCCGTGCTCTGATGTGCAAGAGTGGAGTGTTAGGTGATTTTTAGGGAAGGAAGGAAGGAAACAGGTGATTAGACATATCAAAAGAAATGATACAGCGGTGCTGAAGGGCTGGGCAGGGCTTCTTGCAGGGCAGCAAGGAGCACATCTAGTACCATGGTTTAGCTGTGTGGCAGGTAGGGCTTAGCTGATCCAGGAGGAAGAATAAATCACATGGATCATTTTACTTGCCCTTGCTCCATATTTGTCAGCATAGCAGAGATGTGGAAAAGGATTAGATTACAAAAAAAAAAAAAAAAAGGGGGGGGGGGTGGGGGGGGGAGAGGGGAGATTATTAAACCACACACGCTGCTCAGCTGTTTTAAGAATCTGTCTGCTAGCAGTGGTACTAAACTTGCACTGTTTTGAAGATCTGGCCTTCTGATTAAGTACTAACTATTTATGCTGAATATTCCCTTATATGACAAAGTTCTTTAAAGCAGAAGAAAAAGAAGTACTAAATTCACAACTGTTTTACTAGAATGAAACTTTGAAGAAATCTACAGATTTCTTCAAAGTTTTCAATACGAACCATGAAAATGGTGCATAAGAGTGTGAGTGCTTTGAAGGGCAGAAACATTAAATTCTGCTGTTTGCCATGGGAAAAGAAAAGAAGGTGAAGTTCAAGTAACAGCAAATACCATGGGTGCAAGATTACTCTTGTGCTGTGTTGATAACTCATCTATCTTAATCTGATTCTGTTTGCGACAAACCACTATGATAAATCTCAGTTCATAGAACTGCCTGTCACTACCTCTGCGAATCTTTTTTAGGGAACTGCTTTGCACTGTGAAAATTAATTGCTGCCTGCAATTGCATTGTGCAAATTCCTTATTTGTTCAGCCCATTTAGCCATGCTTTCTTGTAAAATGTCACAACACACTGTTCCTTCTCACCAAGAAAAATACAACTGTCGCACTGTCAAATAACTTTTTTCTCTCACTATCAAAAGAAAAAAGCAAAATAAAGGATCAGTTTCAAACCAAGTACACCAGGAAGTAGGCTGGAGGCAATTAATTACTTGTCAGCATCTCCCTCAGATCTGCATAAACTAGAAAAGGTCCCTGTTTGGCTTTGTTCTGCTCTTTGTATTGAACTACTCTACTCCTTTCCCAACAATGTCTATCAGTCTGGCATCTGAATGCCTGCTAGATGTTAGTACATCAGGCCTGCTCAATCAGGTTCTCTGCTGGGATAATTCAGCATGACCCATCTGAAGCGGATGTGTTTCTTCTGATTTGTGTCATATTAGATCCATTGCTTTTTACTTTGGTCTCAGAGGAGTTTTAGTGTGCGTTTCTCTCTCTGTGTGCAAGCTGATGATGGCTGTTAGAGTGTGGATGTGCTTTTCATCCAGTCAGTCACACACAGGGGCAGATGTGAAAACCCAGAGGTATACCCAGACAGAGGCATCTAATCCTTAAGCACAGAATTAGCCATGTGTGCACGTATGTAGGCTTATATACAATAATAGATGCAGGGATATGAAATCCACATCTTGTGTTTGACCATGTATGGACACAGTCCAAATGTCCTTACTGTCGTCTCTAGCAAGACTGCTTTCTTGCCCTTCCTTTCTCAGCTACATGTGCATAGAGAAATAAAAGTGTGTGGCAGGGAGACAGTCTGCTCTGGGGGATGCTCCTCTAGGTGCTGATGAATTGCATACAGGAGCGGACCCGCCAGCTGTGGCCCCATCACTTCAGGAAAGACGGAGGCTCGCCAGCGTTTGGTTGCTGGCAGCACACTTATATCACATGGCCTTTGACAGGTCACTGCTCCCCGGAGAGCAGATACATAATGCAGGAATGTGCAGTCGCTGGAGGGCTCATGTGGTTCTCATCAGCATCCCAACCCTCAGCGGGTGGGACTGCTCTCCCACACATAGCTTTCCAGTGTGTCAGCACCCCTGCATGAAGCCATAGGCTGGCTCTGCTCATCTTCCTCAGCTGGCCTGTGTTGGTGGAGTTTACAGCAGGTCAGATGCTGTGCCTCCTTGAGTCACATAGTGACAAAGGCACTTGCTTACTTGCCAGATTTTCTGTCCCCCAGAGCGTCTCTTAAGTTTCCACTTTGATTTTCTGGCCAGCTTTTCCTTCTCTGCCCTGTTAGGATGACCTGAGTGTACTATTTACTCCATTCCCATGTGTGCCTCCTGGCCTGGTAGGGAGCATGTTGAACTTCAGCTCTCAGAGCCACAGTCTGTCCAGCTCTGAGCACAAAAGTTTATAGTCCACACTGCCCGAAGTAACTCTGTGGTGCTTTGTCTTGCTGGTCTGTTATTGTAGTGAATGCTGTCTGGGCAAAAGATTTTAGAAAATACACCTGGTTTTTAAATCAAATTGTTCCTGCTACTTATGGACCTCACCTGCTGGACCTCTGTGTGGGTAAGGAGGAGAGGTTAACATGACTAATGTGGTAGTATCATCTGGCACCTGAAATAAGGTTGGGCTGAATATGAGCATGTTTGTTGATGATGCTGTTGATCCTTACAAGCAGCTGTGAGATGCACTGGCTTTGCAAGCACTTGGCCTAGGAAGGACAGTACTGGGGCACTGGTGCACTGAGACACAACAAACTTGGGATGCTGCCAGCAACACTTGCAGGCTGTTATGTGCTTGATAAGAAGGCAGCTTCACATCTGTCCCATGCTAGTAAGGTTCTGCAGTGTGGGGATTTATCAGCTGGAAAGCTGGGGTGGCCAAGCAGTCTGTGGCTCTCCATTTCCTTTCACAGTCCACACTGAGGAATGAAGGAACTTCAACCCTGGCTCCTTGCTACATATCTGCCAGTTTAGCTGGGACTCTAAATTGGTTTCATACGTATCAGTGGGCTACAGCTTGGAGGATACAGGTGGGCACGGAGGAGCAGTGACTGCCGGGCCACGGACACAGGGGTAAGCATGCGGACGTTGGTGCAGGTGAACTTCACAGGAGTGTGTTTGCAGATACACTTCCCAATGGAGACCTGCATTCAGGTTTCCCATGCTCTCACCTCTATGATGTAGTCTTTCCCATCTTTGCTGTGGACGGCTTTGACAGCGCAGATGTCAAGGCCTCCAAACATTTCCGCGCACGCATCCGCCCAGAGTCTATACCTGCAGAAACCACAGAAGCATGACCTAGTATTAGCTGTCATTGGGTCGTCCACCAAATACAGACACCCGTCCCGCTGCCCATAGGAGCACAAAGAGATTTAGGAGCCCTTTTCATCACAAGGCATGCTTCATATGCTTTGCTGGGTCATTGCCTCCCTGTCTGGCACAGGAGATGGAGCAAAAAAAAAGAATCTTGCCTAAACTTTCCTTTTGTTTTGGATTGTTTCAATCCTGCCCTCAAAGCCACCTTAAAATATTTCTTTTCCTCCTTGGTATTTTCATCAGATCTCCAGTTGGTTGTCATTTAGCCAAGCTATAAATATTTAGCTCATTTAATCTCCCAGTAGTGTTGGCCCCTTAGCGTTTGCGTTGGCTTTGCCTGAAAGCCCTCCATTATGCAGGCAGCTTTCTCCTGATAAGATACCCTGCACATTGGGGCTGGAATAGGATCAAAAAGTGAGTGCAGAATTTAGCAAGGAGTAGCCATCCCCTTCCTGATCTGTAACCCAGCAGCTCCTGCTTTTTACAATTTACTCTTTCAATTTCATCCTTTTACAGTCTCCTGCCTCCCTTCTGTCCCCTGGGTGTTGCTCCTAGCCAGGCTATCCCATCACACAGACCAGGCACTGTCTTGTTAGAGGGAGAGCTACAGGCTACAGCCCTTTTCTCTAGCTGTCCCAGGATGGGAACGTGAGCTGGTACCCGCTTCGCTATCCTGGTGCCAGAGGAGGAGAGAGAATGACAAGAGGCGTATTATGGGGGGACCATGTCCCCCTGCTGTGGAAATGAGGAGTGAATGAGGCGGCCTGGTTTTATTTCCTGTGCAGCTGTGCCGCAGTCCCAACCATTTCAATAAAAATAATAATCTCAGAACAGCAGATCTGTAAGCAGGACTATGACAAGATGCGGAGAGGGGAGGGAAGGCCACAGCCTCATGAAAACATTGACATTTTGCAGACCCTACAGGGATTGGGAAAAGAGCTGTTCTGGCCAAAGAACAAGTTCACATCCTTGAAGCCAGCCAGAGTCCCCATAGCTTGACAGTATAATGATCAACTTGTGTGAACACAATGTCTGTGGGAAGAAGCAAGAAAATGGCTTATATGACTACTGATGCTCTCTTATCCCTAACGAGGAGACCAAGCACGTTCGTCCCAGCCCTGCTGGGGAAGAAAGTGGCTGAGGAAGAGTCAGTAGCATAAGGAGGAGGAGAACTATGGACCATGTGAATCAGGCAGGAGGCACTGCCAGCCCCCCTTCTGCACTGCTGTGGTCCCACACCCAGGAGCACCATCATGGGAACCACCTCTCTTCCAGAGGGATGTCTCTAGGTGTAAAAAAAATCAGGGAATTATTAAACATGTCAGAGACCCCAGTAGCTTCATGTCGTCAATGTTGCTGTCTCTAGGTGAACACAGGGAGTCGTCAAGGCTGCTGGAGTGGAATAGCAGCGCTATGGGACATAAGAGTGTATTTATGCATATGCATTGGGAGTAGCATCCGCAGAGGATTTACTGACATTTTGAATTGCTGTACTACATAAAATAAACCTTCAAAATGCAGCATGGCTGGTTGGCAGGGATCTGGGATTTAGTCACTGCAATGAGGGAATGTCTACCCTTTGTCTCTCTAACTTCAGCTGTGTTACAAACAACCAGGATGCATAATAATGTCTGGTTCCCACAGTTGTATTAGGATCTTGCAGAGTCACCGTCCACATCTGATTTGGGCCTTGGCTTGGTTTCCCAGTTTCACAGAACTAAAGGTGCAGAAGGACCTTAGATGATCACCTGCACAACTGTTTTATGCCAAAAAGAATACACTTCTCTAATTTGGTCTGAAAGAGGACAGAGATTCCCCATCTCCTCCAGGCAATCCATTTCTGTGCTATGCTATCCTTACTGTTAGGAAATAGAGGAAATGTTCAAATTAATCTTTTCTACTATAATTTAAGCCTATTATTTCCTATAGTATTGTAGTAGTAATATAAAGAGTGAGTAATGCCCTATTAGCATCCTTTTACATATTTGAAACTTGTGCCCTTTAAGATTTTTCATCTTTAGGATGAAGTGGTGTTCAGCTTTGGACAACTTCTTCCAGCTCTAATGAAGGAAAGCAAACGACTGCACTGCAGGCATAGATTCTTTATGCACGGGTCTGCACCTCTACCAGAAAAATATCAGTGGCCTACTAATTGAAAAAGAAGGAAAACTACATAAACAATTGTTGCATTCTTTTCTCATAGGCTGATTATATTTTATATTTTCTCCTCTGAGCATTCCCTTTATTGTCCTTTTGGCTCTTTTCAGCTCATTGCTATCTTTCTTCAAATGTGGTGTCCAAACCTGGACAGAGTCAGAATTAAATGTGATCCTGGCAAATTAGAGGTATAATCTGAAAAAATCTTGGATTATCTAGGGATGAATGCCTACAGATAATCTATGGATTCTATAAATCTACAAATAATCTACTTAAATAGGATGGAGAACAAGTGTCTTGATAGCAGTTCTGCACAATAGGATATGGGAGTTATAGCAAAGCATAAGTTACCATGAATCAACAGTGTTGCAATATTAGCATATATCACAGTGGTTTGAATATATGGAAGTAGGATCATCTGCAGATTTTAGTCTGTAAGATGCATGAGGCAATTCCTTCTGCTCTGTTCAGC